AGGGGCAGAGAGAGAGGGGACAGAGGATCCAAAGATGTGGGCTCTGCACTGACAGAAGCAGCCCAGTGTGGGGCTTGAACTCACAAATTGTGAGATCATGACCTGAGCTGAGGTGGGATGCTCAACCGGCTGAGCCACCCAGCCACCCCCATGTGTAACTTTTTTGAGGAACTGACAAATTATTTGCAAAGCGGCTGCACCATTTTACATTCCCACCAACAGTGTTATGAGAGTTGCAATTTTTCCACATTGTTGCCAACACTTGGTATTTTCTTGCTTTTTGATTCTAGTCATCCTAATGGGCATAAAGTGGTATCTCATTGTGGTTTTGGTTTGCATTTCCCTGATGACTAATGATGTTGAGCATTATTTCCTGTGCTTACTAGCTATCTATAGATCTTCTTTGGAGAAATCTCTATTCAGATCCTTTTTCCATTTTTAAATTGTGTTGTCTTTTAATTATTGAGTTACAAGATTTCTTTATATATTCTAAGTACAAATCCTTTATCAGATACATGATTTACAAATATTTTCTCCCATTGCTTGGGTTGTCTTTTCACTTTCTTGGTAGTATCCTTGGAAACACAAAAGTTTTTCATTTGGTGAAGCCCAATTTCTTTTTCCTTTGGTTGCTTGTGTGTTTGGCATCATATCTAAGAAACCACTGCCAAATCCAAGGTTACGAAGATTTACGCCTATATTTTCTTCTAAGAGTTTTTAGTTCTTATATTTATGTCTGTGACCCATTTTTAATTAATTTTTGTGTATGGTGTGAGGTAGGGGATCAATTTTATTCTTTTGCATATGATATTCAGTTGAAAAGACTATTCTTTCCTCAGTGAATTGTTTTGGCCTCCTTTCTAAATCAATTGACTGTACACCACTGGAGAATTTTAAGCAGAGGAATGACCTGATTTCTTTTACATTTTTTTTCTTTTATGTTTTAGGCAGTATCACTGGCTGCTATGTAGAGAATGTATTGGAGGGGCCAAGAGTGGATGTAAGGAGACCAGTGAGTAGGAAGTTGCCATTACCTGGGCCAGAGGTGATGGTGACTTAAACCACAGTAGTGGTAGTGCAGATGGAGACACAGGTTATACTTGGGAAATAAAGTTAGTAGGGCTTGGGGATTGTCCAGCTAGGGGAGAGGGTGATTAAAAGAGGGTAGAGGTCAAGGATGACTCATGTGAATTGGAGTCAAGGATGATCTTCAGATTTCTAGCTTGTATGGCTAAGTTGATAGTAGTGTCATGTACTATCATATGAATGGAGAAACATGTTTTTAGAGGGGGAAATAACGAGTTTAATTTGGGATTAGTTGAATTTGAGGTGCCTGTGAGATTTTTTTTCAAGTGGAGATGTGCAGAAAGCATTTGGAATGTGAGTCTAGACTGGAGTTAGGGGGCAAGCCCTGGAATGGAGAGAGTGGTTTCATGAGCACATAGGTGGGGGTGGAAGCTCTGGGAAAGCCAGAGGAGAGAGTAAAAGGAATGAGAAGAGGGCCCAGGACTGAGCCCTATGGAAAGAAGAATAGGATCCCAAGAAAGACACAGAAGAAATGGCCAGTGATGGGGAAGGAAACCAGGAAGAATCTATAGAAATCCAGTAGAAGAAAGAAATTTTAAGGAGGGAGTGATCATTAGTGTCAAATGTATCAGAGGTCCAGAAAAATAAGGTCTGAGAAGTGCCCAGGTATCTTTCCTGTTTCCATGCTCCCACGATATAGGTTGGTTGGTTTGGTTTTTTTTTTTTTTTTT